CCTATACTCCCTATGCATAGAGTCTGGCCACAGAGACTTGAGAGAGGACATATAACTGCTTTTTTCTTGTAACAGCAAAATGCCTTCCGCACTACCGCCCTCTGAAGAAGTAGATGTCAACTACGAAACAATATCCACTTTTTTAGACGCTTCTGATGGAAATAAATCGCTGAAATCGTCAAAACCTTTACTAATTTGATACATTTTAGTTATTCCAGCGACTTCAGCGATTTATTTCCATCAGGAGCACCGTAAAAAGATGGATGTTGTTATGTAGTTGACATCTATATCTTCAGAGGGCGGTTGTGCGCACATTTTGCGGTTACAGGAAAAAGGTTCTCATGTTCTCTCTCAGGTTTCTCTCTGGCAGTCTGGCCCATGGTGGAAGGGTTATCTTTCCACCATGGTCTGGCCTGGCCATTCGAGAATTACACGTGATTGGTGCCACGTGACTTATATCTACATTTAATGGTGACACCAATACTTTGTTCACCCAACGCGAACAAGCGGAAAATAAAAGCTGTAGCACAGACTTCAATATTAATTTACTTACTTTTTGGAATATATAAAGGAATCTATTTTTATACTTAGAAGATTCTTAAAATAAAAAATATTTTTGGAATATCAAAATTATGATTCAGTATTTTAGAAATATTAAAAGTATATATAACCTTTTGCTATAAATAATAAATATTTTTAAAAAAGGAAACTCCCAAAGGGGGGGGCCATGGCCCCCATGGCCCCTCTCCTCTGAATCCGCCCCTGCGTCGAGGATAACTCCTTAGGAGGGCTGACGATAGGCGGAAAGAGAAAACACTTCAATATTAACATTTAATAAAAGTAGTCTCGCGTACAAAAGTAACTTCGCGTATAAGCAGAGTTTATGTGAAGAGCAAGTGTTCATGTGAAGAGTTAAAATATAACTGTCGAGGCAGACGCGCAGCTCCTCTCCTCCTTAGTGGCGCGCAGGCGCGGGCGCGGCTAACCACTCAGACGCCAGCAAACGGACGCCGTCGCAGATCGGTCAATAATGTTCGACAAGAAATACGCATGCACCTCCGGAGGGAAAACGTGGCGACAGGAACGGCAAAATTAGGGAACTAAACTGTCGGATTCTTACAATATTATATTTTTCTTTAGAGATCATCTGGATGAAATTTTTTCCAAAAAAGCATGGTGTGCCCCTGTGGCCATTGCGTCTTCGTCAGGCCTATCTAAAAAGCGTGACAAAGAGAATAATGTTGAATCTGATAGTGAGTGTGCAATTGGTAAGTTCATCCTTCTATAATGCCTGGATTTTATTGAATTAATTGTTGCGTTCAGCGGACTCAACAGTTGAGTGAGCGCTTGCTGTTATTGGTGTATTCTTTTAGATAAAAAAAAATCAGCATTTTAGATCTGGAAAAATACATTAATAACAGCGAGCGTTCACTCAACTATTGAGTCCGCTGAATGCGCCCAATGTTTAGTTTCTCATCACTTTATATATACATGATTGTAAATTTATATGATTGAATTCATATAATAAATACTCAATTTTAACTTTTTTTTAGAGCCGTCAAGATCCAAACAAAATATCAATACACTGTTGGCTAAAAGATTGAGGCAAAAAGAAGAATATGAAAAAGCCAAAATAAAACGACACAAAGACAGGATGGAAATGGATGAAAAATTTTTTGCAGTTCTCAAAAAGCTGACCAATAAGTAATTTAGCACATTTCTTATTATTTATTGTATCACTGTGATAAATGTACCAACGATAAAGCTACAGAGTAATAATGATTTGTTTATTTTTATTTTAAACTTACTCTAATTTTATTACTGCAGATCTGAAGTTAAATAATGAGGTAGCAATTTTTATTTTTTAAATAATAAGGTAGCAGTTTATTATAAGATTTTGATAAATGTACCAATTAAGTATTCCATTTAAATTTGAAATGTACTTACTTTTATTAATGATTTGTGAGCATTTACTGTAGGCCTATGTACACATAAAGTTGTATTTTAGTTTTGTATTGCAATAAGTTTCAGGGTTGCTTGGAATAAAAATATAAGATATTAAGCTAGAAACACAATGAAAAGCACAGGCAATAAGAACAGGAAATATGAAATTTCGACCTATCAGAAAGCATCCATTCTAGTATACATGGTTTCTGATAGATTGAAATTCGTTATTTCCTGTTCCTATTGCCTATGTTTTTCATTGTGTTTCTGGCTTTACTTTATAAGATGCTTTACTGCCTTATAAACATTTCAGATTGTAAGATAACATTACGTTTGTTAACCATCTTTTTATGAATATTTTATATTGTTTGAATATTCATTGTACTACACTAACATATCTTTGTTATGAGTGTCAGAGTTTATGAATAAAAACGTTAGTACTTTTTGATAAACATATTTTATTGTAATCATTTATATCATCACCAATTCAATGTGCCCATAGATTATCTATGAACTATCAAACTATAGGGTGGCACCCAGTTGGACACGGCTCAATTGGACACCAGCCACTCACAGCGCTTGAGACTACAAAGCTCCTAAGCACCGGTCGCTATGATTGGTAGTGTCGAGCCGTGATCAATCGGGATCACCCCAAACCATCCATAATCAAATTTCTTTTGTAAACCGCAATATTCTGTCTGTTCGATTGATGCAAATCGTTGTAATCTGTTACACTTTCTTCTGCAAGTGAAGGTAATATAACAATATCTATTTCATCTCTACGTAATGTGCAAATGTTGTGAATTACACAACATACTACAATATACTCTGCCATCAAGTCGACTCTCACAGTTGGTAAACAGTGCAATACTTCGCATACAACCTTTTAAACCAATCCACCTCTCTGCTGATACCCTTGCTAATGAATGTCTGTAATTGTAATTGTTTTTTCTCTCATTTATGTGACCATTGTCTCGAAAAGGAGTGAGCAGATGTTGATGCAGCTCATATGCAGCATCACCCAAAATGTGGCTGTCTGTAGGAAACTTCTCGTTGTCGTTCAAAAAGTCTGCCACTTCCGATTGCTGAAAAACTCTTTGGTCGTGAACAGAACCAGGGTAACCGGTGTAGCAACCAGTGATGCACATTTGGCTCCCCAGCAACACGGAAACCAGCCCCACCACTTGTATCCCCACCAAGCAGACACCTACCGGCATCGAGTCGGCCGTCTTCGCCGCGAGAGCGAGCGAGACAGCGAGACACAGCGCCCGTCCTTCTCGCTCTACAAGCGAGTATTAGAGCGAAAAGGACGGCCGCTCTCTTTCGCTGTCTCGCTTCCTCTAGTATCGTAATCGCTTGTTATAAGCGACTGAAAACCGAAAACGTACTTTCTCGGCCGCTCGGCGTATTCCTGTACAGGGTATCCCGACCTTTTTTACCAATCACTTTTGTGTTGATAGAGCGGATTAAACTGAGTCGAAAAGTCCTCTACCATTTTGCAATTTTCGCAATAGTTAACAAGATATTAATTACTAAAAATTGCAAAATATTAGTCTTGAATAATTTTTTACTCAAATACTATCAACTTTACAGAAAAACTGCAAGAGACAAAAATTATTTATTTTTTGGTCATAAAGTTCTGAGAATTTTTTCAGAATGTTATCAACTTTTTAGAACTGCATTATCTTATTTTTATCAACATGAGAAAATACGGTATTAAAAAATTCTGAAAAAATTCTCAGAACTTTATAAGAAGAAAATAAATAATTTTGGTCTCTTGCAGTTTTTCTGTAAAGTTGATAGTATTTGAGTAAAAAATTATTCAAGACCAATATTTTGCAA